CTCCATCAGCAGTCTGTCACAGACCATAAAGCGGAGAAAATCAAAACGCTAGATTCACAAAGTCATTTGGTTTCCCAAATTCACGGCGCCCAAACTCAACGATAGAAGGAAACTTGGCTTTCCAAATCAGGATGGTGACACTATTTTCAGTGATTCCAGCTCGCGATAGAAATCGGATTCAGGCATTCAGCTGAACTCTTTGGCGCTGAAGTTGAAATCTACGGGCGTAGGCAGACAAATGTGGGCTATCAAAACTATTGGGAAAGATTCAAAGCCTCAAGTTAATCATTTTGGAAACTTTGCTGGAGTTGAGCATCTTGGTATTCTGATTAGGGCAAAATGATGAAAGTCACAGAATTGTATCGATGGCTCGCTCACATTTGGACTGTTGACAATTTTTCGTATGAGATCCCCTCTATTAAAGCGATTTGATGAGTTCGTAAATAGTGCATCCGGGTATATGTACACCCGGCTCAAGTAAGAAAGACGACCCAATTACTAATACAGACCAAAAAAAAATCGGTGTCATATTTGTAATTTAAGCGAAAATTCACGGCTTCCGCTAAATGAGTAATATTGTACGTTTAGTGAGCATCCAACCTATTTTATTGAGTATTACAAGGCTAACAATTAGTAACACGGTCTCAACCTCATATCTTCTAATTTTTGTTCTTGTTCTTACTTTTTCTTTTATAAAAACTTATTAAATTATATTTAGGGAAAATCGCACTTTTCGTCCCTGAAATAGTCGCCATATTGAAATGTCAGACTCGTATTTCGAAAGTTGTACTTGTCACCCCTTAATTGTCCAAAATGTTGTAAATGTGGTCCTTTGAGGGGTGAAATGTACTACTCGCCCACAGTGTACATTTCACCCTAAAAGGACCACATTTACAACAATTTGGACAATTATGGGGTGACAATTACAACTTTCGAAATACGAGTCTGACATTTCAATATGGCAACTATTTCAGGGACGAAAAGTGCGATTTTCCCTTATATTTATAATACACTCTTATGAATTTCAATATGTGAATTTAGTGTAATATGATACTTTTGAAATATGCATTGATATGACTTCTTAAGATGAGAATAACATCAATACAAAATGAGCATACGTAACTTACAAAATGTTAATTGACATGAAAATCGTAAGGTTTGTTAGTTTGACATAACGACGTTTTCAATGAACATCAAACCTTATAAGATCATTAATGAATTTTTAATGAGAATCAAACCTTATAAAATCGTAATGTTAAATGACCATTTATGAATTTTTAATGAGCATCAGACCTATACAAATGAGCATATATAACTTATAAGATGAGCATTGATATAAAAATTGTAAGTTTTGTTCGTTGAGCATCAGGACATTTTCAGTGGGCATCAAGCCTACGTTATTGAGTATTAGAATCGTGTTATTGAGTATCATGATTTGTGGTCTCATGTTTATAATCAAATTATATGTGAATCTAATGTAATATGAGACTTTTGAAGTATGCATTAATATAACATTTTAAAATGAGCATAACGAAGGTACTAAATGGACATGCATAACTTATAAAATGAATTTTCAAAAATTCAAAAGCTAATGTGTGTATGTCCATTCTTTTTAGACACTTTATTTATTTGAATTTAAAGTAAAGCTCATTTCTAATGTGCTCGGTATTTATATACGGAGTATAAAGAAAAAGAAAGAAGGAAACAAGAAAAGAAAGAAACGAAAAGAATAAAAGAAAAAAGATAAACAAAAGAAACTAAACTAACTAACCTAAAAGAAACAAAAAAATAAAATCAAAAAGATAAAACACAAAATGTAAAACAACTAGCAGGAAAGATCAAATAGAATGACAGTTGGAAAAGAAAGAAAAGGAACGGGGCAGCTGGAAAAGAAATAAAAGGAAGGATGGCGACAGAAGAAGAATCAAAAGGCTTGAAGTTGCATGAAATTGCAAAATTAACGGGTGTATATGTACACCCAGATATACCGTATAATTTGCGCGATTTGATGAAGCATATCAGTTGCAAAGTTGAATCAGTATTTTTTTGTTGGACACAAAAAACATGTCCAAATCAAGGAATTCCTATGTAGTGCTACGAAATCCAGATTGCATTGGGCTAAAGTTTGTGTGGATTTAAGTGCACTTTTTATTCATTCGGGTATACTATAGAACTTTGATTTACGAGTATTTACAAAATCGTCACCACGTTTCCGATAAAATGTAGTGCTTGTCGATTGATTTTGAGCCATTAAATCCCAAATTTAATGCACAATATTTATTCTCATTTTTCATGAGGAGAACTCTTTTTACTTGATCCAAAACTTATACTCCCTCCGTCCCGTTGGAATGTTCCCGGTTTGACCTACACACATATTAAGGAAATAAACTTATCAGGGGGTAAATTTTACTGTTTGGACACTGTTTGACACTGTTTCGACACTGTTTGACACTGTTTTGCACTGTTTGACCCTGTTTTGATGTAGGATAACTTTCCATTTAGGGAAATGGGAACTTTCCAACGGAACATCCAAAAAATGAAAGCGGGAACATTCCAACGGGATGGAGAGAGTATATATGTATATATAGTGTTCATTTTCATTTATTTTCATTTACCCCAGTGCCGCATATGTATATATAGTGTGTTTCAAATAAAAATGCTATGTAGTACTCCCACCGGTTCTTAATTAAGTTCCTGATTTGACACTGTTTTGCACTGTTCTGACATTGTTTTGGTGTAGATTTGTTTTCTAAATAAGGAAGTGTGAATTTGTTTGAGACATCCAAAAAAGGAAATGAGAAGTTAAATACGGGACAGAGGGAGTATTATGCTAAGGAAAAAGTAAATAGTTATGTTAAGTTAACCTATGTTGAGAATTATTCTTGATAATTTACACATGAAATGATGTACTACGTATGTCATTATTTGAAGAAGAAAGCTATGATTAAATACTCGTTGCTTTATTTTTTTAGAAATCATTAAAAGTTGTATTATAAATGTAATTTGAGGCATTGAACTATTTTTGAAATAAAAATTGTAAATGAATTGATAAATAATTTGGGACCATAATCAATGACAAATAATCAAACAAAGAAAAAGTGACAAATAATTTGTATTGAAAAATTGAGAACGTAAAATAAAAGAGAGAAATTTAAACTGTGATTCAAGCAACCTAGAGCGACTCAATTGACGAAAACTAGTAGAGTCGTATGTTTAAAAATGCAAAAATCGACTCCAGGCTAGAAGAAAATGCAAGGCCCAGAAGCAAAAATGGACTGGGGAACTGAACCCACGACATCAGAGTAATCCACACGAACCAACAGAACCTTTATGTTTAATCTGAGATATAGTCCATATATAATACTTGGTATATATATATATTTTTTGTTCAAATAAGAACATGATCTTATAAGAAAAATGATAATGAATCTGAACCGTTTATTCCGCACATTTCAGATTCACCTAATGCACACTTGAGTTTAAATTTTTATTATACACATTTCAGTATCATCTAATGCACATTTCAGTTTCACCAAATGCACAATTCAATTCCACATAATACAATCCAACGATCCAGATTCATTCTCATTTCTCTTCTGGTATTCCGTTCTTATTGGAACAGCTCCCTATATCAGTTACAATTTTTGGATTTCAGGGTTTGTGCCCAATCCACCACTAATAGCAGCATTTTGCTTTGTAAAAGAAATGACGGTTTGCTCCACCCGCTGAAATCCAAAGAAGCTCATTATCTACTAATTAGTTAAGACACTAATTAGTAGATACTCACAGGTGATTGAAAAACACAGTTTGGAAATGAGTCGGCGGTAAAAGTACCACACATTGGTGTTTTTGTGGGTAAAGATTTTGAAAATTAATTGCGTGCTAATGCTATTAAAAATTATATTTTATGAACTTGTCATATAATGGGACTTCGCATATCGACTGAATTAAGAATTGAAAAACGAAGAGAAAGGAAGAATAAGTGAAATTTGGAGATGGCGTTCCGTCTCCATTGGCCGAATAGAAAAAATAGAAATTGCTCTAAATAGGAACAAAAACATTTTGAAATTTCAAAATAAGAGTATCGGGTTTTTTATTCTCTGAATAAGAGTAATCTGCCAAGTTTGGAAAAATGTCATGTTTTAAAGCCTAGTAATGTCAAACTTGGCAGAAATTTACTCTTATTCAAGGAATAAAAAACATGATACTCCTATTTTGGAATTTCAAAAATTTTTTACTCATATTTATTTAAGGAATTCTCTCATAGAAAAACTACATTATACTACGTATTACCTTTGTTTCAATAACATGGAGACATGTGAAAATGGTGCGATTATTAGGAAAAATGATTGTATATGATTGATATTAAGAAATTTAAGAATAAAGTAAGAATGATATAGAGTCATGCAAATGCTACAAATTTTGATATGAGACAATCTTAGTGGGACGAATGTAGTATACAAATTAAGTTGCATTTTGCATATAGATATGTTTGGTACAAGTACCTGAAAAGTTGTTTTTTTAGTTTTTTAGTAAATGTTACTCCATAGGTTTTAATGACCGAAAACATCTTTCAAAAAATGAAGTACTACCTATTTGATAAGCAACTAGTGTGATTTAGTTATGTTTGGTATACAACTATTTTGACTAATTAATGTTAAAAACTACAATTTTTTATGAGGTGCGACTCAGCGTAGATTCTCAAAAAAAACTTTTATTTTAATAAAATCTCTTAAAAATTGTCCTCATATACATATAATTAAAACCTTTTTAATGACTATTTAAATAGTTTAAAAGCTAGAAAATGTAAACTTATTGATCTCTTGAGCTCCAAAGGATGAATCATTAGAAGCAAGAACTCTCTTCTCTCCCCTAATTGTGCATTTAAACTCGTGCCCTCAGCTAGACACGATAGCCCCAAATCTAGTGAGCTGGAATGGTTGGTTATCTTTTTGTTAATATAAATTGGCATATATAGGTGAGAGAGAAAGAGTAGGTACCTCTTTCTCATTGTACATTGGGATCTGAACAAGAACCATAGGGAAAGAGGCGTTTCGGAGCTCAACGTCGTCGTCTCTGAATGGCTCCCATTTGAAGCGCTTCTCCGGCGTTCTCCGGAACACTTTGACAAAAGCAATGACTGCCCCCATACACATCCACTCCACGAACAACAGCATCGTCATCCAGCAGCACACCAGCACGACTGCGTTGAGGACGGGAGCTACACCAACCGCCGGCAACTGGCCGATGGACTTAGCCAGCACTGGCACCTCTGACACGAAATTGGCCACAAACCACCGGCTGCCGGAGAGATTCATCCCGCTGCCCGCGGTGAGCTACTCTACAGGACTAGGACGTGACATTCGCTGCCCAAACATACTTTCGCCTGCACAGAGAGAAAAATGTGATGGAATGAATTCGGAATAAGAGAGAGAATCGATGACCGTATATACTCTCCCCATCAATCAATTTTGTGCATGACATATCTAATCAATGGTCGCTCCATTCAAATTTATGAAGTTCTAGCTAAAATAATTGTATTGACCGATTCTGATGATTCATTAAAAAATTATATTTAGAATACTTCCTTCGTCCTGTTAACAATGAGACAAGAGGAGGTGACACGCAAATTAATAAAAAGTGGTTTATATTGAATTGATAAAGTAAGAATAAAGTAAGAATGATTTAGAGCCACACAAACTTTACCAAATTTGGTATGGGACAATCTTAGTGGGACGGGCCGATAAGGTAAAATGAGACAATCATGGCGGGACGGAGGTAGTACTTATTATTAACAAATAAAAAATATGTATATGAAAAAATAGCTAAAATGATCATCTACAGTAACTTCAGTCAATGCAGCCAGAAAAGTAGCTCTAACCATACTTTTTCTGCTTATTACACAATTCAGCGCGTGAAATCAAAAGTTACGTGTTTGGTGAAAAAGCTGTTGATAAGCCTGATAAGCCAAAAACAGGGTTGCCAAACGGGTTCCAAGTTATTGTTACCCATTGAAATTACATACGTAGTACTTCAAACGTTATTTCAAAATGAAATTGTTGTCAAATGTTTTGCATCATATTGATTTTTCTTGGTCACTGAATGGCAAACTTTGAACAACGATTTTAACTATTATATTTGTATATAATTTATAAATTTTATACAACAACAACCAAGCCTTAATCCCAAAAGAATTTGGAGTCGGCTAACATGAACCGATCTATGATATCGATAAAATTATAAAAGTATAAATTTTATGCTTTTATGAAAATATTTTGAATGAAGAACATTTTGATATAATTTGCATATTCAAAATAATTTCGTATTAAAAAATATCATTAGTCAAAGTTGATTGTCATTGACCAAGAAAAGCCAATTTGGCGAACCTTTTTTGGGCGGAGGGAGGAGCATACATTAAAAAACAGGCAGCTGTACTCAACAATAGTAATGGTAATAATTATTTAAGAATATAAGGGTTTTGATAATAATCAACGGAATATCTACATTAGGGTTATGATTGGTTCAAGCACATGACAATTAAAAAAAAACATTTTTATGTAAGTTTTTCATTTCATATTAACTCGAGTTTTTCCCCGGATTAATGTTAATTAGATAAATAATTACGGAATTAATGTTGGATTAAAACTATTTACCAATATACTGATGGGCTTAACTCTGGTCGGGGAAAGTCGTCAAACCGTTTGGCGACTTTCCCCTTCCCAAATACGTTAACACCCAAACGTTCTGTTTCAGACCGGTGTTATGATTTAGGTTAATAAAACGATAAATCAAAGAGCAAGAACACAAGAATTTTACGTGGTTCACACAATCGGGGTGATTGTGCTAGTCCACGATGAACGAGAGAGAGTTGTTTTATTATTATGTCTGCGTCAAGCGGTATTACAACGTACAAAGATATGCTTAAATAGGTTTAAGAAAACCTAAACAAAGATTTGAGTCACAGGCCCAAAAATTAAGCCCGTAATTAAGATTAACCCGTAGACCCAGTCGGGTCTCCTATTTTACCCGGTCGGGTGACTCCTCAAAAGGCATACCCGGGTAGACATCAGGGCGGGTATCCTAAACAGAAGCTAAAACCTTCCACGGACCCGGTCGGGTAAACCTCCTTACCCGGTCGGGTTTCCCAATCCAGAGAGTTGCCCGGCCATAAACTACCTCATACCCGATCTGGTGACTGACTCTACCCGGTCGGGTATCTCCTGCTGCTGCAGAAACAAGGCTCTATCTTCAACAATCTCCCACTTCGAGGCTTGTTCAACAATCATCTGCCATCCAAGAACTTATATCCTCTGTAAAACCCTTGATCTCTCTCTCTCGTTCACGCCTTCTCATCAAGTAGAGCCGATGGATATATATGGGATTTCTTTTGGTCAAAACTTTGCTTTATCATTTTTTCCTGCTTTTATTGATTTATTGCTTACCATTCGGGATTCTGTTCGTTTTATAGGACTTAGCAGTTTTTTTGGCCTCATTTTTTATCATTCTTCATATCATCATTCGGACTTCAAATAGTTCTGACAATTTACCAGGACTTGGTCCCTCTCTTGTGTCGATAGCCGCTCGGGCTTCAGATAGTTCTGTAGGACTTAGTCGTTTAGTGAATCTTTTGTTTCTGATATCCCATCTATCCCACATAACTGTTGATAGAAACCCTATTCGGTTTATCTTGCTGCCCCTATCTTTTGACTCGTTCTAATCTCTAATTTTCCCCATCCCGCCGATCTCTGTCTGTTGTTCTTCAAATACTACCCGTTCGGTGTCTCTAAAGATACTTGTTTCAAACTTATGGCTTACATCGACCTTGGTCTGGGATGCCTCTCATACGTTCATCGTTCAAGCTTTTTAGGATGGCTTCCCCAAAACTGTTGATCCGTTTTTCATGAATTGCCCATTAACCGTTCGGGGAACGTGCTAAATTACCATAAATGTACCATAATTTCGTACAACCACATTTCACCACGTGTTCTCCATGGGTTAGGGTTTTGGGCGGCATCTTTGCTTATAAATAGAGGTGCTTCTTAATTTCCTCTGTTGCTTCCTTAATCTCTTCTTGCGTCTCTCTAAGCTTTCTCTCTCTAGAATTCTCAGGATTCCTTAAGTGGTTTTATGTATTTTTCTTCTAGCTCAGAATCTGAGGAAATGCCGCTTATTCGTATGGGAAAAACTCCTGCTGTAAACAAGGCTGAAGGCTCTTCTTCCCAAGTTCCTAATTCCACTAAACCTCCCGTACTCAAAGATGCTGAACATCCTCTTGACGACGGATGCCTTTCGGGAGATGATGTAAAGATTTATAATAAGGGAATGCCCAAACGGCCACCCCGCATTGCTTTGCATTTCACTCGCATTTGCAAACAAAAGCAACGTCTTCCTGAAGACGCCGAATGGCAACTTTGCCAACTTCTGCCTCCGCCTAGAGAATTTTATGCCGGATTCATCAGGCACCCTATGAGGCACCGACTGGGGCACGTGCTTTTGCACCTTGATGCATTGATCGCTGGGCTTCGCTTCCCTCTACATCCATTCGTTGTGGAGTTCCTACGTCGGGTCTCCGTACTTCCCGCTCAGTTCGTACCCAGCACCTACCGCATTCTGTCTGGCTTTATAATCCGATGCCAGGAACTGAGGATCGCACCAAGTGTCGATTTATTTCTACACCATTACTGCTATCAGCCCTATGGGACTACTGGGTACCTGAAGCTGGTAGCCCGAGTTGACCGTCAATTGTTTACAGATAACCCTACTCCGCCGGCTGATTGGGAGGAACGGTTTCTCTTCGTGCGTATAGGCGATTCTCTCCCATTCCCTGACCGGTGGAACGCTTACCCCGTTCGGGACTCTGAGCCCAGAATAGATGTCGTTCTGCGCTCTCAAGCCGAGTCTCTACGTATGGGAGGCACTCGGAGTCTTCGGGGTTTTATTACCCCTTCCAATATACTAACTGTTGGGATTGGTAAGTGTAACAGGGTCTTAACCCGATCGATCTCCTTTCAATTTAGTTTCTTATCTCTTATTCCCTCTTTTGTAGGTGTGATATCCCCGATACCCGTTCGGCGTTCCATATCTGCCGCTACTCTGACAACTTCCTCCGGAAAAGGCAGGGAGAAGATGATTGCCGATCATGCATCTGCTGAGTAAACCCGGAAGAAACGCAGAGGGAATGATGGCAGCATAAGAATCTCGGTCGATCACGTGGTCGATTTTACCGGTCCAGATGACAAGCTGAAAAAACCGATCATCCCTGCCCAGCCCCAAACTCCAGTTCTTAACAATACACCGGTCGATGATTGGATGTTTGTGGAGTTTTCCCATTTGGGGCCTCGAGCAGAGGGAAGGTACCTGTTCGGGCAGATGCCATCCTCTATGTGGTGCAGTACCTCCCTGAAGGTTCCACCCAGTTTTCTACTCTAACCCATTGGTCTGACCTGGTCGAGGCAGGTCACTTGGAGACTCTCAAGGTGCGGATCAGTCATCAACCCCTTTGAAACCTTGATTTTCTTCTGATTTAGTATACGTTATCTAATTTCCTTTTTTACAGTTTTTAGGCCGGAGTATACTATCACCGGGTCTTCCTGGCTGCAGAACATGAGATGAAGTGTATAACCAATGATCGGGAAGATAGCTAGGTTCTCCTTTCCGCCGCTCGGAAACTGGCTGCAGATCTGCAAGTCCGTGTTGATGAAGGTGAACAAGCGAAGTCTGATCTTGATAAGGTGGAGGAGAGGGCCCGGCGTCGTGATCGAGAAATCAGAGATCTCAAAGCCAAGGTGAGAGCGGCTGAATCTGCCGGGATGCGGTTTGATAAATCAGCAGGAGACAATCCTCCCGAGCCGTATACTGCCAATACATCTAAGATCACCAATCAGGCCTTGATCGAATATCAACGCAGTAAAGGATTGGATATCGCTTTACAGAACACCGCTCGGCAATTTTTGGGACCTCATCTTGGCCAATTCTTGCGTGAGAGCGAGGGCCCGATCAAATCGAGAATAGAGCTTCTGGATAGCACGCCCGAAGGGAAATCTTTCTTGGATGTCCTGACGGAGAAAACTGTGAAGCAAAGTCAAGATCTACTTCTAGATAGGAACCTCGACCTGATCATGGAACGCTTCTCCAAGCCGTTCGATCCTGATGAGTTGGGATTTGATGACCTGTTCGGGAATACTTACGATCGGGTCATGGAGATGAGACAGAAAGCGATCCCTGATGATGCAGCACAGGCCGACAACACTCAATCTCAATCTTCCCCGAACGGAAATCGTCCAACAGAGTAGTCCTTTGTAATTTCATTCTTGTTTTCTTTGTACTTTCCGGCCAGTAGTGCCGAAGAATAAAGCTCGATTTTGTACATAATCTTGTCTTTTCAAATGTCTCTCTTTTTCTTTCTTTCTTTCTTTCTTTCTTTCTTTCTTTCTTTCTTTCTTTCTTTCTTTCCTTCCGGACGCTACTCAGA